AACAGAAGGGGAAATTTCAAGGCAAATGGAGCCCTTGAGAGGCTGGGAGGGGAAGTGGTGGAAATACTGCTGATTGAAAGCCTCCAGAAGAAAGCAGCCGACTTCCGAGCGGGCAGTAGTCCTCTAACTCTGGTCTCAGGACCCCTTTACACTCACAAAAATTACTGAAGATCCCAAAGGTCTTTTGTCATGTGGATCGAGTCTTTCCTGTTTAGAAATTACAACTGATATTTTTTTAAATGCATCAATTCTTTTAAAAATAACAGTAAATATTTCATGTTAACATAAATAACATATTTATGAAAACATCTAGATTTTGCAAAACAACAACAAAAAACCTTTAATTAAAAAAGCTATAAACTTTTAATGACTAAAACTATAAAATCCCTAGAAGAAAACATAGGAGAAAAGCTTCATAACATTGAATTTGACAATGATTTCTTGGGTGACCCAAATGTACAAGCAACAAAAGCAAAAATAGACAAACGGGACTTCATCATACTTAAAAACTTCTGTGCATCAAAGGAAACAATCAACAAAGTATAAAGATAACCTAAAGAATGGGAGAAAATATATGCAATATATTTCCATATACCTGAAAAGGGGCTAATATCCAGAATGTGAACAACTCAGCAACAGAAAAACCAAATAATCCAGTTGGAAAATGGGCAAAAGACTCAGACATTTCTGCAAAGAAGATATACAAATGGCTTACAAGAACATGCAAAGATATCCAATATTGCTAATCATTAGAGAAATACAAGTCAAAACTACAAAGAAATATCACCTCACATCCATTAGGATAGCCATTAGCCAAGAAAAAACAAAAACAAAAAACCAACCCCACAAAATAACAAACGTTGGTGAGATGTGGAGAAATTAACACCTTGTGCAGTGTTGGTGGACATGTAAAATGGTGTAGACGCTATGGAAAATAGTATGGCAGTTCCTCAAAAAATTAAATAGAATTACCATAGGATCCAGCAATTCCACTTCTGGGTATATATCCCAAAGAACTGAAAGCAAGATTTCAAAGAGATATTTGTTCATTGCAGCATTATCCACAACAGCCAAGAGGTGGAAGCAACATAAGTGTTCACTGACAGAGGAACGGATAAAGAAAATGTGGAAGGTACATATGCTGGAATGTGATTCAGCCTTAGAAAGGAACGAAATCTGTCACATGCTACAAAATGGCTGCACTTGGGGGACATTATGCTAAGTGAAATGAGCGAGTCACAAAAAGAGAAATGCTGTATGATTCCACTTATGTGAGCTATCTAGAGAAGTCAAAATCATAGAGACAAAGTGGAATGATGGTCACCAGTGGCTGATGGGGAGAGAAATGGGGAGTCGTTCAATGGGCACACTTTCAGTGTTGCAAGATGAAAAGATTCAGGAGATTTAATCCATAACAATGTGAATATACTTGACACCACTGAACTGTACCCTTTAAAATGATTAAGATGGTAAATTTTATGTGATGGATGTTAACTAGACTGGTTGTGGTGATCATTTCATAATATGTATACTATATAAAAAAAGAGACAACAGGCCCAAAATAGAGTCACTTGTGCTAAGCTCACATCACCAGACTGAGACTTTTAATACCTAACCTAATTGCAGTGCCAGCCTGTCCCCAGCTGAAATCTTAACCAGTCCGTCTGGAATCTCCTGGTCAGCACTAGTGAGGTCATCTGCCAGACAGACCCCTGCCATCCCTCTCTAGAATCCTAGGAAAGGAAGCTCTCAGGAGGAGCTCCATCTTCTCTTTTCACCACGGGGTTTCTCAGCTTCAATCATTTGGTGAGGTATTGGTGTGGGACAGAGCACGTACCAGTGGTACAGAACAGAGAGCTCAGAAGCCAACCCACCCATTTATGGAATGTATATCTGGATAGCTGTATGGGCCAGTGGGGAAAGGAGAGACTGTTCAATAAGTAGTGCCAGCTATTTACAATAGCCAAGATCTGGAAGCAACCTGAGTGTCCATCAGCAGATAAATGGATAAAGTTGTGTTATATATATACAATGGAACACTGCTCAGCCATTTGCAGCAACATAGATGGACCCGGAGATTGTCATAAGTCAGTCAGACAGAGAAAGACAAGTATATGGTATCACTTATATGTGGAATCTAAAAATAAAGTGATACAAATGAATTTGTTTACAAACTAGAACTAGACTCACAGACATAGAAAAACTGGTTACCAAAGGGAAAAGATGGGGGAGGGATAAATTAGGAGTTTGGGATTAATATATACACACTACTATAAATAGTACATAAAGTAGATTTTGAAATATATTTTAATGTATACACATAACATATATTACATAAAATAAATAAACAACAAGGTCCCACTATACAGCACAGGGAACTATATCCAATATCTTATAATGACCTATAATGAAAAGAATCGGAAAAAGAATATATATATATACATATATATATATATATACATATATATATATATATATATATAAAACTGAATCACTTTACTGTATACCTGAAACGCTGTAAATCAACAATACTTCAATTTTAAAAATTTAAAAAAAATAGTGCTGGGACAACTGCTTACAGATACAAGTAAAAACTGGGTCCCTACTAAATATAATACATAAAAATTAATTTCAGATAGATTAAAAATTTTACTATGAAACTAAAAATTTAAGCTTTTAGAAAAACTTGGGGGTAGGGAAGAATCTCTTAAAGAGATTCAAAGGCATAAGCCATAAATAGGTGAAAGACTGACACACTTAAAAGAGTAACATTTAAAAATTACTTTGGCATCACAAAAGACTCAAAAGGGACAGTGGGGAAGACAAGCACAGCCTAGGAAAGATACGTGAAATGCATGTAACTGACCAAAGATTATCGTCTCTCCAGACATATATACCTCAAGAAGCCTAAAATAAAAGTCTAACCATCCAAATGAAAAATAGGCAAAGGATAGGAACAAAAAATGGACAAGGAGATCCACACGGCCAGAACGTACGAGAAGATGCTTAACTACACTGCAAAATCAAAGCTAAGGAGGTTAATACCACCTAATTAGCAAACATGATTGGTTAACACCAAGTGATGGGGGAAAGGGTGAGCTCTCAGGTCGCTGATGGGAGGATAAAGGTATTCAAGTGCTTGGGGAGCAGGTGGGAACATCTGGCCAATGAGGGGACTACAGATATGCACCCACATTCACAAAACAGGATGCTCCTGGCAGTAGTTATCATGCAGAACCCTGCAAAAACCTGGAGTGTCCCTCAATGGCATAAGGCATTAACAGTGGAGTATCATGCAATGAAATACCGAACAGCAGTTAAAATAACGAACCAGAGCTTTATTTACATCCGTGAAAGTCTCAAGAAAGTCACATTAAGAATTTTTTAAATGCCAAATATGTACAGTATTATATCATTTCTATAAAGTTTAAAAGACATGCCAACATGCAAAACTAAACTAAACACGGATGGGAAGGACACAAGCTGACTTCAGGACTGTGGAATGGAGTAAATGCAATGCGGACAGGAGACAAACAGGACTGCAGCATTATAAGGTTTCATTTGTAAAAACAAATTTGGAGCAAATATGGCAAAGTATTAAGATTAGTTGACTGGTTATGTGGCGGGGATGCAGCTGCCTGCACACCAGACCTCTGTTTTCTCAGCATGTTTGAATTACTTTCCTTTCAATCCTTTTTCCCTTTCTTTCACTCGAGTGCTGGGTTCCTCAGTCTCCCAGCTACTCAGGGACCAAGCTTCTGCATGGAGAGTCTCCTCAAGCATCTTTGTTTCTCCCCAGTGGCTCTTACCCTTTCGTCTTCTAGTATTGTTTTTTCCCGGCCTCCACACTAACTGTAACACTGCGTCATGGGCACCATTCATCTCTCCTTCCCTCACCGTCCACCTCCACCCTCTGCTTTTACCTCTAAACGTGGCTCCACCTCCAGCACCCTGGTCAGGCCTCTGACAAAGGCTTCTTTAAGCCTAACAAGTCAAAACACTCGTCAAATCTCTTTGGAAGCCCCACCCTGAAACTGCTCTTTCAAAGATAAACATGCCCTACTTGCCAAACTGAATGAGCCTCTCCCAATTTTTCTTGCGCCTTTAATCTCTGGGTGGCTTTTACTCTCAGGGACCACTCTCATCGTCTTAAAATTCTCCCTACTTTTGGCTTTCACGACTGTGATGCTGCCACCCCGCATGTCGCCTGTGGGTTAGTCACAAGCCAGTGACAGCTCTCCGGATTCCAACTGCCACCACCAGGCCGAGCACAGCTGGCCTCCTGGCTGCCATGTCTTTCTTCCTCGGCTCTTCTACAAACAGCCCAGGGGAAAAGAAAGCTATGTCAAACACCAAGGCACATAATTCTCTCATTCCCTCACGATACACACCCAGCTTGACAGCACTCACGTTGTTTCTGGGACAGGGAGACAGGACCATCAGTTTGAACCACAATCATAGCACCTGTTTTCGCAGGTGTCTGCCAGCCGTGCTCCCCGTGGGGCCAGCGGCCTGCTCTGTGCAGCCTCAAGGAGCCCCAGTCCAGAGGCTGAGATTCTCTTTGCAACCCGTGAATGATGTAGAGAGAAAAAGGAAAACCCCATCTGCCCACCCCCGCCCCACACAGAGCCCAGAGAGACAACCATGGAAGGAAAGTGGGTTTCCGGGCTCCCACCAGGCCCCCACCACACGCGGCTTTCTGCTGGGGACCCGCACCTGCTCTGTGTTTTGGCAACTGCCCTGAAGTGTTTCTGACCATGTGCCTGCATGCTGCCAGCATGGGGATCTGCTCAGCACCCGCAGCCCGCACCCCTCCGAGCTGGCAGCCGGCAGGCCTCGCAGCTCTGTGCACACGTCTGCCCTAGGGAACCTTGTAGTTAAAGAAAGCATGGCAGACAGGTGGGCTTCCATTGTAACTGAGCAAATCTCTTCCCTTTCGTGCCCAGAGCTTGCTACCCCAAGAAGAGGAGCTCACACTGACAAAGAGACCAAACCCCAACATTCCAACAGGATTCATCTCTTTATTGATATTAAGACACTTTTCAGCAGTGACTGCTGCAACAAGGACTCCGTTTCTAAAGGTAATAAAATAATGACAACATCATAGACAAAGCATTTGGGACTTTCCTTGCAGAGAAAATAGGCTTTTCTTCTCCAGGCAGAGTGACCAGGCACTATGTGCCACCCCGGGCGTGAACTCCTGGTCCCGAACACACACACCCTTCCTCCTTGGGGGCCCTCAGGACTCCAGGCTGTGAAGCCAGAGCGGCGGCCTTGCCCACACCCCTTCCACGTCCTTCCTCAGCGCATCCGGACCGACTTCCCACGTTTTCCGTCGGTGAAGCCAGTGCTCGGGAGGGGTGAGCCGCCGTCCGGTGACAAAACAACTAGCACCAAAAAGCTGGTTCTTCTTCTTCATGAAGTAAACACGCTTTTTAATTCGTTTTTTCTTTTTTAAGGAAAGAAAAGTCTTAAAAATATATGGCACTAGAGTGTAAAACTATACAAGTGCGTCCAGGTACGATTTTCTACAGTTTCCAGCCTGCAGTGCCCGCGCCTCCCTTCAGATATAGAGCTGGTGGGAGGCCAGGGTGTCCATGAAGGGCCGCACCAGGTTGTCTGTGGAGAAGTAGAAGATGAGCCCGAACGTGATGGAGATGGGAAGCGCAGGCAATGCCTTCTTGAACACGGCGAGCAGCAGGAGGGTCAGACACAAGCCCTGCAGGACACAGAGCAGGGCGTGGGATGACTACCGGTGTGGATGGGGGACCAGAGCAGTTAGTGACAGTCTAGTCCCTGGGTTCTGGGGCTTGTCAGAAAACAGCCCTGGACACCCTGTCATCTTCCCTGCCTTCCCCAGGGGACATATATTTATACAAGAATTGGACAGGCCTGACTGAAATGCCAGCGAGGTTTGGTTTGGGAACTGACGATGCCATGTCAAATGACCCACCCCCTTGGGAGGAGGCACAATGGCTGCCTATCCTGTCCCCACCCCAGTCGATGCAAGCTGTGGACCAGAGTGGGGACAGGGAAACAGAGTGCATGACCGATCCTTGGGGAGGGCAAGGCTTCAGGCCAGACAGTCTGGAAATGGAGGAGCCCAGGGGTCCACGACCCTGTCTCTGACACACACTGTAGGCAAATACAAAATGTCCAAAGAACTGGAGCCTCAGCCCTAATGCAGCACGTGACGCCCAGGGCAGAACACTGAGAACCCACCACCCAGAGCCTCCACCTCTGAGATGCAATCACATAGGATGCTTCCCTCATTATGTGTATCTGGCCATGTTAAGTGACTATAGGGTCCTCCAAATTTCACTGCTGGGATCAAAGTGACCCCCTTCCCAAGCCCCAGGAGACCCCTGCAACTCAGAACCCCATGGTGTCTGGGTGGGATTCAGGGAAGACAGGAAGACACACAGCTCTGGAGTCAGAGACCTGAGTTCAAACCATAGCTCATCCCTCACAGCTTTGTGCCCTCGGCCAAGGCTTTCAACCTGTTCTGTCTAAATCTCAGGTCATCATCCCTGCCTCAGGTGCCATGAGACAAGCGCACAAAGCTAGCCAAGACCTTGGCACCTGGTGCGCGTGCTCAGTAACGTCAGAGCCCCGGTTGTCCCTCCACTGCTGTTCCTGCATCTGCTGACGACCAGAACCTCCTGGAAACCTCAGTCTCATCTTGAGGATCCTGGCAACCCTACCCAGCCCCTCTGAGGGGAAACAGCATCTGAAAATGGCCTTGGGTTCCTGGGCCCCCCATGAAGACCCCCAGGGGCCCTAATGCTGGGGGATGGGGGCAGGGAGCATCCTCCATGGCCCACTCACAATGAGGATGGCCACGAAGCAGGCCAGCGTGGTGTTCCAGTCCCCGCTGCCCGTGGCCGCCGCCTTGCCCACCAGCACGCTGTAGAAGATGAAGTCTCCAAGGCCGAGCTTCACGCCCCCTGTATGGCGAGAGAGAACGGACTGTAGGTTTCCGAAGCCCCAAGAGGACGCAGCAGAGAAGGTTGACACCGGCCGCTCTCCCCAGCCCAGGGGACCCAGGGGTCAGAGCCCTGGGGTCCTCCGAGGGCTGCCGGAGTAGCGTCACAGCTACCCTGGACCCTGGGACAAGACCTAACTGCTTTGGAAAAACAGCAGCCAGTGGGAAAAGGGGGGGACCTATGGCCTGAGTGACTTGCGGTCTAGGCTGTGAGAAGCCAGCATTTCCGATAACTCAGGTAAAACTGGTGCTTGGTCCCTGGCTGAGTAAAGACAAGAGCGAATAAAATGCATTTTCCGAGGCTGGTGGGAGGCCACACAACTGAGTTGAAATGAAAAATGCTTTTAAGGAAATTTAACTTTACTAATTTCAAGAACATGTATGATACCCACGGTCTTCTGGAGACTCGCCCCCCCTTAAAAGTAGCTAAACGTAACTTATAATTAGCGTATCCATTCCTGACAGGGAAACAACAGCTTCTAGAATGCTTTCAAGTTTGTTTCCATTAGTACAACTGCCCCATACGCTGGTTTATGGGATAGTTTTGTTCACAGTCAATAAAAGTGTTTATGTAATAGACTTGAATCGAGTAGATCTGCATCTGGGAAACTGCTCTGCCCGCCTGCCCCCTTCTCCTCCCTTTTCGGCTCCAAGCAAGAGGTGCCTCGCCTCAGGCACACCCATCCCTTCCTCCATGCACGCCTTTTGATGTCAGCTCCCTCATTTTGGCTCCTGCCTGGGCGCAGAGCGCACTGAAGTTCTGCAGCTTACAGAGCTGACCCTCCACGTCGTGGGTCTCTCTTGCTACCACCCTGACTCCCGCGTCCCAGCTCTCTCCCCTCCCTTATGTCGCCTCCTGTTCAATCAGTTCTTTCTCAGAGGAGCTCTATGCTCACCTCCCCGTCACTTCAGAGACCTGTGGCAGCAGGTCCCACATCCCCCAACCAACGGGCTCTGGCAAGGCCACCCTGGGCCCCGTGGGCACCCGTCTGTCTCAGCACCCTGTTCTCCTCCAGCTACTCCCCAGGATCCTCCCCAAGCCCCCTTCCTTTCATTCTGTAGATGTCACCCATGGGGGTCTGTCCCTCTGGCTGTCCATTCTAACCCTGCACCTGCCCTTGGTACCTTCTGGTGACCTACGGTTTTGACAGCATGTATATCCTGGTAACTCCGACTCGGGTCTCAAACCCTGACCTTCCTGAGCACCACACTCCTTCATGTGTCTCTGGCGTCTCCATCTGTCTGCCCCGCCTTCCCCTGTCACCCTCCACGCCTCCCTGCCCGCCCTTCGCCCAGCCAAGTCCTGTCAGTGCCTCCAGTCTGCAGCAGCACCATCTCCTCTCAGCCCGTGGCCTGAGTGGGGCCCCGATGGCTCCTCCCTCACGAGGTCCCCCAGCTGGCTGTGTTCCTTGCTGCTGCCCCGGATCTATCTGGGATGTAGCTCTGCTCACTTTATTTCCCTGCAATAAACCACTAAGAGTTCCCCACAGCCTCCAGGGTGAAGTGAGCTCCTCTGTGAGTACTGCTCACCCTCTAAGGTCCAGCCCCCAGCTGCTTAGGCCACCAAACAGCCCTGAGCTCCCTGAAGCTCTCCTCCTCTCTCATCTGAGCCTTTGCCAATGCTGTTGTATAATAAAGAATCTAACTGGCCTTAGTCACTGGGAGGGAGACCAAATCCTTGGAGTTTTCCAAGTAATAGGAGTGTCTGTTTTTCAGGAGCCCCTTGGATCATTTATGCAAATGAGACAATCAAGATGGGGCTGGTGACCAAAAAGACCACCTGTGTGTTGAGGGGGTTGGGACTCTGGGCCAGGCTGACCTCTGGTCAGGAGAAGGAGCCTGGAGATGAAGTCCAGTCCCATGAGCAATGATTCACTCAATCGTGCCTACGGAATGAGATCCCAGTAGAAATTCTGGACACTGGAACTCAATACATGTAACCATGTGTGGGGATGGGGGTGACAAGCCCTGATCCCACAGGGAGACAGCACCCCCAGACCCTGCCCTGTGTGGTTCATTTGGCTGGTCCTGACTTGCGTCCTTTATAATAAAACTGTAATTGTAAGTGCAGCACCTTCCTGAGTTCTGTGAGTCATTCTAGCAAATTTTCCAGCCTGTGGGGATTGTGGGAGCCCCCTGATTTGTAGCCCATGGGTCAGAAGTGTGGGTGGCCTGGAGACCCCCAGAATTTGTGACTGGCGTGTTAAGTAGGGGTGGCCTTGCAGACCGTGCCCTCGTGAGAGACACGCTGACTCCAGGTGCTCAGGGCCAGGCCTGGGTGCAGCCCACCAGCCTCTCTGCAGGGTGACCAATTTATCCTTCCAGGCCCACCTCAGCTTTGTATTTTCCCCACGTTGGCCCTGAGTCCTTCATATCTAACCTCCTGCCACCTGGGCTGCTCTCAACCGGGAACCCCTCAAGGGCAGAGGATGCTTTAATTCCGCGGTGTCTTCCTGCTCCTCTGTGCCCCTTGGCTCACGGTAGGTGGTCTGTGACTGTGCTGGCAGAATGGCTTTTTTTTTTTGAAGTATAGTCAGTTTACAATGTTGTGTCAATTTCTGGTGAACAGCACATTGCCTCAGTCATACACAAGTATACATACATATATTCGTTTTCATATCCTTTTTCACCATAAGCTACTACAAGGTAACAAATATAGTTCCCTGTGTCATACAGTATAAACTTCTTTATCTATTTTATATATACCAGTCAGTATCTGCAAATCTATTTTAATCCCCTTGGGAATGTAACTACATCTCAGAACGTATCTGGGTGTGCCTTCAAGAATGTCTTCTACACTGGCTCCTCCTGTCTCCCAACCACCTGGGGCTCTGTCTTGGGGAGCCTCCATCCCAACTCCGCCCCTGCCCCACCCTCCACAGTCCTCCATCAGCCCCAACCTGGAGCAGTGCTGTCAGTGCTGGCCTGCCTGGCCCAGGCTTCCCTCTGGGGCCAGAGCCCACGCCCTGTGTCCCTCACGGCCACACTGGGATATACTCAGGCCACTCAAGCCCGCACTCTACAGGCCACAAAGCTGCCCCTCCCCACCCTGTCCCTCTTCCAACACAGCTAGAACCCCACTCCCCTGACTGCACCCACTGCTCACAGGACACAGACAGTCCCCTTGTTGACCCAGGAGGCCCTTCGAGCCCCTGCCTGCCTCCCTGCCGTCTCTGCACTTCAGCCTCAGTATCCTGCCTTCACTTCCTCGAACTCACTGAGCACCATCTGTCTCAGGGTCTCTGCCCTCACTGTCCCCTCGGCTGGAAACACACCCTCGCTGTGGGTCCCCCTCTCCTAGTTCCAGTGGCTCAGCCTCTGGAGCTCAGCTCAGAAGTGACTTCCTCTGACCCCCTGACGCAGGTCAAGAGCCCCGCTACTGCTCCCCATCACCCCGTGTCCCCTGCCTAGTCCTCCCGGCACCTGTGTGGCTGCCCCCTAGTGCAGTGCGCGCACAGCAGGTACTCAGCCAACACTGGCCATGGACGAGGCTTAGGTGGATGTAGAAGTACCTGTGGCTTGCCAACAGGACTGCACCTTTGCAGGTTTCTCCTTGATCTGGGAAGCCATCTCCCCTCGCGCCCTCCTCCCCTCAACCTCAGGGAGCCCCATCCGGGCCCACACAGACCATCTGGACACCTTACTTTCCTCCTCTTCCTCCAGCTCCTCCCCGGGGTAGCCAGGCAGAGGGGGCTCAAAGACTTCAGGGTACGAGGGCTCCCCAAAACTGTCATAGGAGTCTTCTTCTGGGTGTCCCGGAAGAGAAGATGACCATCGTCATATGAGGAGGAGGCGAGGGAGAGAGAAAAAAGCCGGTCAGGGGGTTCTCTGACCTCAGGACTCCCCTGTCCTCACCCCTCACCACGCCCAGCCCAACACAAAGAGGATTCTCCAGTCCACACAGCAAGAAAAGGGAAGCAAGAGGAATGGGGCCGAGACAGAGGACCCAAGTCCTACCGGCGCACCATCCCCAAGGTGTGCATGTCCGGGGAGGTCAGCCTGCCCTCCTGCCCGCTCAGTCTTCATGTCTCCTGGACAGGACAGGTCAGGCTGAGCTGAGTGCAGATGAAAAGCCACCCTTGATGATGAGAGGCTGTCGGCCCCTGATACTCACCCATTTCCGGGTCATAGGGGAGCTGAAGGGCTCCCTGCGAAGAGGGATCCAGCTTGGCCATGCCCACCGTCCACACCATGGCAGCTGGGAGAGGAGAGAAGTGTCAGGCCTCAGGCAGCACTAGCTGTGGCTGCCCCAGCACCTGGGAGGCTGGCGGGCCAGGCTGTGTCCCCAGGAAGCCAGCACAGGACCCTCAGTTCCCGAGGGTACTTGCGTATGCCCCACTGAGAGGGGGCCACGGGGGAGGGGGTCCAGACTCACTGGCCTGGTGTGGGCAGGCAATGCTTTTTCCTGTCTTTTTTTTGTCTACTCACAAAAACAAAGATAATATCATCAGTGAACAGTTTGGTGAACTAATTAAGTTTTTGTTTTATTGTGGTAAAAAAATAACATAAAATATATCACCTTAACCATCTTGAAGGACACAGTTTAATAGTGTTCGGTATACTCACATTGATCTCCAGATCGTTTTCATCTTGTAGAACTGAAACTCTGTACCCCTCCCGCTCCTCCGAGCCTCTGGCAACCACTATTCTACTTTCAGTTTCTGATTTGGACTACTCAAGATATCTAAGTGGAATCACACAGTATTTATCTTTTTCCGACTGCATTATTTCACTTAGCATAATGTCCTCAAGGTTCATCCATGTTGTAGCATGTCAGAATTTCCCTCCTTTTTCAGACTGAGTAATATTAATATTCCAGTCTATGGATATACCACATTCTGTTTATCCACTCTTCCATCAGTGGACCCTTGGGTTGCTTGCGTCTCTTGGATATTGTAAATAGTGCTGCTAGTCAAACATCTGTTCAAGACCTGCTTTCAATTCTCTTGGGTCTCTGTCCAGACATGGGATTGCTGGATCATGTGGTACTAATGTGTTCTTTTTCTGGCCTGGAAACTCTCTCCTGAACTCTCATCTCGTCTCTGCAACTCTCCGTCTGAATGTCCAGTGAGCATCTCAGATACTCTCAGCAACTGCCCTTTGACCCATCCACCAGCTTCCTCCCTCTTAGTAATCATCAACTCCATCCTTTCTGTTGCTCAGGACCAAAGCATTGACATCTCCTTGACTTTCCTTCTCACAACCTGCACCCACACCAACAGCAAATCTTTCAGTTCTGTCTCCAAAACGTCCAATCTCAGCGCCTCTACCGCTGCCCCGGGGCCAAACCCCAATCTCTTTCCTGGGTTGTTTATTCAGCCTCCAAACCTGGCTCCTGCCTCCACTCTTGTCCCCGGCACATTCTGTTCTCCACTCAGTACACTGTGCGTGGACCTCTTAAAACGTGGTCAGGTCAGTCCACAATCTTCCAGTGGCATCACATCTTACTCAGCAGTAAAAGCCAAGTCCTCACCGTGGCCTAAAGGGATCTGCCTGCCCTCTCCTCCTCCCTCCACTCCCACCACCTGGCCGCAGGGTGCTCAGAACATACCAGGCACTCACTGCTGTTCCTTCTGCCTGGAGTTCCATCACCAGATTTTCCTAAGGCAGGTCTCTGGTCAAATGTCACCTTGTGACACAGGGTTTCCTTGGTCACCTTATGAAAAAGAGCTTTCCCTCACTACCCTGGAATCCTCAGGCCCTCACCCTGCTTTACTTTTCCACAGAACACTCCCCTCCTGACTTACGTGTCTGTCTGTTTAGTTCCTACCTGTCTTCCCTGCTCGAATGTGAGCTCCATCAGAGCAGAGTGACAGTGAATCAAAGTCAGGAGTCATCTGGCCTCTGCCCATCTTCAGGGTGGGCCTAGAATGTGCTTTCACACCATGCACCAGGCTGCCGACAGCTCTCCACCACAAGCTTGGGTCTTCGTTTATACAGAGATTAGCCAGCACTCTAAAACCCCAGAGCTGTGAGCTCCATGAGGCCTGGACCTCTGGATCCTGTTTCCACTGTACCCCCAACACCCATCACAGTTCTGGCCACAAAGTGGGGATTTGCCACACGTCTCCTGAATGCATTTATAAACCCCCCACCCAGGCCCCGAGGCCAGCAGCAACCCTGCATGTCTTCCCTTCAGAGACAACGTCAACCAGCCGTGTAGCTGTTGAGGAAGCCCAGAGAAAGGCAGGTGCACCCTGTATCCCCAGACCCCTGCCCTGAAGAGTCTGTCTCCAAGGCCCTTTTCAGGGGCGGGGAGGGCTGAGTGGGTGGCTGTGGGCCCATAAGAACGTGCCAGTGGAGGCTGCATGGGATGAAGGGCAGGACCATCTCCCCTGAAGCCCCCTTCCTGCTCTAACTCTCCAAGCTTCTCCCTGTGTGATAGCAAAATAAAACTTACCTTCATTTCTGGAAGAAGGAGCCCCTACTGGGATCACCAAGGCTGCCTCCTCCCCTTCAGTCAGGGAAAGGGTTAACTATCTCCTAGTCAACTCTGAAAGCCATGGCCAACACATCCCTGGTTCCCACGTCTGAAAGAGGCATGGGGGTCACTCACATGAATATATCAGGGCAGGAAATATGGGCTCATTTCTCTCCTGGGCAGTTTCCACCAGCATTCTTAGTGGCCCTTTGGGGCACAGCACAGCCACGAGATCTGGGAAAACAAAGACGTCCTTGGCATGTTAAGAAAGACATTTATTCCCAAGCAGTCCTCGGAGAGGAGCCAGCCCGCTAACACCAGGCGGAGGGGGCAAGTGCGTCCCAGAGCCTTGGGTGAGGCTCTCAGAAGTGCCCTGTTGTTCCAGCATCCCCACCCAACAGGTTTGGCCACCATCCCCAGAGCCTGCGCTCACTGGAGCCCACAGTGGGGCCTGAGCCGGGTCTAAGCGGGTGACTGCAAACAGGGAGCTGCTGTGTGCCTCAGAGACCCAGAGGATGGGCTCGAAGGCCTAGTTCTCTGAGCTCCAAATTTCTTATCCTAAAAATGTAAGAAACAGTACTAGCAATGATAATCACACTAATACAGCTGGCCCTCCACATCTCTGTGTTCCATATCCATGCATTCAACCAACCATGGATCAAAAATATTCAGAAAAAAATTTCAGAAAAGTTCCAAAAAGCAAAACTTGTATTTGCTACAAATAAGCAACTATTTACAAATCATCTACATTCCTTTAACAACTATTAACATGTCATTCCTATTGTATTAGGTATTATAAGTAACCTAGAGATGATTTAATGTACTTGGGAGGATGTTGGCAGGTCATACGCGAACACCACGTCATTTTACATAAGGGACTTGTGCATCCTTGGCTTTTGGTATCTGTGGGGGTCCTGGGACCAATCCCCTGAGGATACCGAGGGACATCTATACTAACTGAACAGCAGCTAACATTTTGGGTGCTTGTCATTATTTATGGAGACTGTGCCCAGTCTCAGGGTTGTTCTGAGGAGCAGGTGACTTGTGTGTGCAAAGTGCTTAACGGTGTGAGTGCTCAGTACACATTTGCTGCTATTAATAACCACATCAGCAGTAGTGATTCCACAGGACCCTGTGTGTATTTTTTTTTACGAAGGTGACCTTCTCAGAAGGGAGACCATCCAGGCCTCCCCGGGGACAGGGGATTTCTCAGCACCCACCACCTCATGCAGCAGTGAGGACCCAGCCCTGGACATCTCCCCACGGCCCCCACCCGGCTCCCGGCCCGCCTGCACCGCCTACCGTACACGGAGATGGCACCCAGGATGACCCAGGCGGACCACTCTGGGAGGTACTTGATGAACACCAGGGCCATGAGTGCGCTGATCATGATGAGGTAAGCCTGCTGCAGGACCAGGGGGCCCTTCCAATGGATGCACACCATGCCCACTGCCCCAAAGTTCCAGACGGTCAGGAACAGGGTAGGGTAGTCCATGGCCACATTGTAGGTCTTGAGTACTTCCCTGTAGGACCAGAGTCCAGCCCATGGGCTGAGAAACTCAGTGGAGGTGTCAGACCCTGATACAGTTCAACACCCCCTGCTCCTCAATCATGAAGTCCCAGCCTGGTTTTTTCAACCTCTGGCTTCATTTACTAACATCCCCTTCTGCATTTCTATGAGCCCTACAAGGAACCACTTGAAGTGTTTTCTGGAACAGGGCAGAGAGTACGCTGATGTCTCATCCTCCCACTGGTTCACATAAACATGTGCTGACACAGCCTGGAAGACCCTCTGCCAGTAGAACAGGACCTTGGAGAAGTGTTTTCTCCCATCCTCCAGTTTCTCTGGGCCCTCGGGTCAGGCTGATATCCCAAATCCAGGGCAACAGAGATCACTCTCCCCATAAACTAGGAGGTACCCAGGCCCAGCCTAAAGATCAGAATGTAGATTTTGAGGGGTTTCTGCCCTGCCACCTGGGTTCACAGAGCACCTTCTCTGTGATGGTTCCATGTATTTGTTTTAAATCAGGAACCAGAAAGAGACGTGTGGCCCAACGCAGAGCTCCACTCCCCGGTCGAGGAGCTGAGCTTGTGCAGCAGCAGCACCGGGGCAGGTGTGGAGCCCAGGGGGCGCCCCTCCCTCCCAGGTCCTCCTCTCCCACAGGGAAGGGGTCCTCGAGGACCCTGCTGCTCACCAGCTGCCACTCACCCGAGGTAGATGTAGGTGAAGAGGAACAGCAGCATCAGGGAGGACATGATCAGCCAGCCGTGGATGAACTAGAAGGAAACAGGCCGGGTGAGCGTGGGCCCCCAAACCACAAGGCCCCAGCCGGGAAACCTTTCTTCCTTAGGCTCCTCCATGACTACATTAGAAGGTGGTCGTTTTGTAGACAAGGAGGGAGGGCACAGAAATTCAAGGGCTTCTCTGAAGGTAACCCAGCAAGCGTGCGAGGGAGCTGGGCCTCCCTCAGGTCTAACGCCTAGGACTCTACTCATTCACACGGACACATCTCCCGCACCCCAGGCACACTCCCGGCTCTGGAGATAAGGCCGCAAGGCCTCTGCCCAAACATGCTGCGTCCCAGTGTGAGGCAGTGAGACTATAAACACACACAAACGCATATTAGCAGGAAGTAACATGGGCTATGAAGAAAAAAATTGGCTGGACAAAGTGACAGGAGACCCACTGGGGTGCTACTTTGGATACAGTGGTCAGGGCGGGCTCTTGAGTTGGCTTTGTTTGAACAGTCAACCTGGGGAGTCAACACCCACCTCAGGGGTCTATAAACAGGTCTTCAGAAAGACATGTTCTTCCTCTCCTGGCCAAATAAGGGAGGTTCAAGGGCAAGGGTGGGGCTGATCTTAAAGCAGTCCTTCAGTCAGTGGCATGGTGGTCACCACTACCAGACTCTCTTGAGGACACACCCATCAGTCATCAGCTCAGGCCACTAGGGACCTCGGGAGGCCCTGGTCTATCTGGCCACACTGTACATGCACTGGTTGTCCTCATCCCACCCCACCTGCCCGGACCACCATCATCTCCTGCCCATGTATAGAGCCTCCAGGTAAATCTTGCTGAATGTAGACCTGAGCTGCCTCTTAACAGATCCCGGGAGCAGTTGGTGGCACCTGCTGACCATGGCAGTGACAGCTTTCCACACTCTCCATGTTCCTTCTAGCTTGTCTCCACATGTGCTGTATCCTCTGCTCCAAACCAAAAGCCCTCTCCCCTGCTCCCCACCATCCACAGCCTTCCCTACCCCAGTTAAAAACTCTGCCTCATTTGCACAGGTAATTATTTATTGAGAAGCTCCAGCTCCTAGACACTCCCCTCCCATCAATCACCCCCATGGCTACCCTCAGCTGGCATAGTGCTCATCTCTCTAGATTGAGCCTCCCCATCTTTCTCTCTGTTCCATAGATGATGGCAGCCTGAATACACAGTGCTGTGCACACCTGCAGGTGAATGGTTTTAAATCAGGTAATGTCCAAGCTAACTTCCGTTCAGTCTTCGGGACTTCAAAGCCTTCCTTGGGAGAAGAGCCTAAAACCCATGTCTTAAAGCTCACAGATCTCTAGGGATGGGCAATGGCCATGATTTCGACCAGGTGGGACTCCTCTACTCCTCTCTGGGGTGGCTCTGTATCACGGGGAGGGAGGCACCCAAATGTCTCCCAGCACTGGAAGACCTCAGTGCAGCATCTGCACATCCCCGGCCGAAAGGGAAATGGAAAAATAAAAATAAACCTGGAGGGGAAGTACAGGGTAGAGGGAGCCTTAAATAGAGCATCTCACTTCTTCGGAAGGAGAAGCAAAATAAAATTAACTTCTGAATATGAGAAGTAACACTCTGAACGTTGCAAAGAGGAACTCAATTAAGTGGGATTATGTGTCAATTCAAAGGACAATAGTATTGGGTAATCCATGGTCAGGGGCAGGAGTGGGAAAAGTGGGAGAGAGTATAGGCAAACCTCGAAGATACTTGAGTTCAGTTCTAGACCACAATAAAGCAAATATCGCAAGAAAGCAAGTTACAAGAATTTTTTCGTTTTCCGTGCATGTAAAAGTTATGTTTACACTATATCATAGTCAAGTAAAACTGCAATAGCATTATGTGAAAAAAAACCAATTAAAAAACAACATTAATTACAAAATAATGCTGTTGGGAAAATGGTACCAACAGACTCACTCAACGCAGGGTTGCCACAAACCTTTAATTTGTAAAAACTGCAGTATCTGCGAAACGCAACAAAACAAGGTACATACGCAGAGTTGATTTTGCATGGGGGAGAAAAGAATTCTGTTAAAAAAAAAGACCAAAGGTTGCTGCATCAGAGGCACAGAGGGTTCCTTGGAGCTGGACAGAAGGAGGGGAGCGGGCAGACAGAGGGCAGGGCTGGCACTCACCTTGTAACAGCGGTACTTGTACAGCACCACCAGGAAGATGGTCATGATGACAATGACGCTGATCATGATGAGGGTGTTGAGCACGGAGTTGAGGAGGCGCTGGCCCACAGAGGGCGTGTCCTCAGTGAACGGCGTGTAGATGCTGAGGGAGAAGGCAAGGGCCGGGTCTCTGCTCCCTGCCTGCTGGGCGCACCCCACGGCTCGGCATAGGCACCATGCTAGGGCTGCCCCAGAGGGGTGCCACCCACCATCCCTGTGAGCTGCCCTGACTTTCAACCCGTCTCCTGGCTCCCGACTACAGCCTATGACTGAGCCGATGTCCCATCCTGGAAGAGCCGGGCTGGCCTCACCAAGGCCTCGTCCACTCCCCTCCCAGTTAAACCCTACCATGGAGGTGCTTCTTCCTGCCCACCCCACCTCTCAGCTCTGGTCCAGGGAGACCCAGCAGTTCCCCACCCCACCTCCACATCAGTCCCACCCAACCCAGGACGCCTCCACCCCTACTGCTTCCCCTACCACACCCAGTACAGCCCAGGAGCTGTACAGGCAGCTAATAAACTCAGGAGGCAATTTTTTTGATCTCTCGCTCTGTCCAACCTGGACTTTAAGAAGCAAACTGCCTGTGATGTTCTGAAACTACCTGCTTTTCATCTGTGCTGCTCTGAATCCCAAACAGACT